GAAGTCTAAAAGTATTAGAAAATATATTAGTGCTGTCAAATGATTAATCGCGATTAATCACATCCAAAATATTTTTTTGTTTGTTTACATAATATGTGTGTGTGTACTGTGTAGATTTATTATGTATATTTACATACAAACACATGCATGTGTATATTTAAGAAAAATATGTTGTTTATATATCAAATATATTTATGTATAATGTAAAACATAAGAATATAAATATATAAATGTATATACATGTACATATTTAAAATATATATACTGTATGTGTGTGCATTTGTATATACATAATAAACACAGTACACATACATATATTATGTAAACAAGAAACATTTATTTTGGATGTGATTAATCGCGATTAATCATTTGACAGCGCTAATTATTATATGAGAACATAATTTCAAGCTACAGGAAATATCATAAACCGCTTATGCAAAGACTGTAAGGCTAAGTTTTGCACTTATTACTAGTTTCTCACTAGTGCGAGATTTCCAACCGCAAAACACAACATAATCATTAAAACATTCATCAAAAACAGTTGAATCCAACATCTGTGATGTGAAATATTAAACATCTGCTCTCATAATGAAGCTTCCCCAAAACACACGTGATCCACGAAGGTCTTAAAAGTCACTGTCGATATTCTAATATTTAATATTAATGTGCGATTATGAGATGAGAATTAATGTTATTGATCACAACACTTGTGAACTTAGCGTACTGCTAACTCACCTTCAACACACTCGCTTTTAAACCGAGTCGTGCTTCTTCGATCTTGCTCTCGATGACCTTTCGGAGAGCGCAAAATAGTAATTATAAATCCGTTTCAGATGAGAGTATAACACGCAATGCTTCTTATGTTTAGCTGTCTGATTACCTGCTCTGATTCCGCCTCCGCCATGATGGCTCGAGCTGTCGGTCAGCAGTGGCCTGGTCTTCAGTGGAATCGATCGCAGACTCTGTGAAACTGGGCACACGGTGACGCCATGTTGGCTCTGACATGTCAAACAAACCTTTCTCGCAGCAAGATAAAGTTCCTCTGATATGCTCCTGCAATTTAGAGCAAATAATCGCATCATGCGCGGAGCCTAAAAGCCTCTGACAGCATCACTTATTTGTGAAACACTGGACTGTCCCTTTAACAAATTAAATGAAAATCAGAAAAGCAACTGATATATGATGAAAGTATAACTGAAAGTTTTATATTTTGTGTTAGTTATTTTGTTGTGCTTTTTTTTTTGTGGCTTTATTAGTTTTTGTTGTTTTAGACACTAGTTTTTATTTCATTTTTTTTGTTTCAGTTTTTCATTATTTTCAGTAATTAGTAATGTTTTAATTAAACTAAATGAAAATTATAAAAGTGACTAATATTTGATAAAAGTGTAACGTTTTTAGTTAACGTCTATTTCATTGCAATTAATGTACATGTTTATTAGTTTGTTTTAGTTAACGAAAATATCACATTACTTCAGAAACACACACGCTATTTTATACAAGAACATCTTTCAGCTGATCATCAACATAAACGCTTGGATGCAAAAAAACCTTTCTGCCTTCCACCAAAATGTCATGTTGCTTGCTGTTCCTTTGTAATTACTTGTGAGACGTAATATATAATGATTTGATATCTGTCTCTCTGCTTCAGAATGTTACATTTAATTCGATGTGTTACTTGCCGTAACACAAAACTAGCAATTTATGAGTGAAGTTAAATCCTTCACCAAATTGTATTTGTTTATTATCATTTATTATCATTGTATTTCATTTAAACCACCATATTTAAATCATTTTATATCCATTTATATATCTACAGATAGATACAGTAAAAATTATTTTTTTGAAGTTGTATATCATTTTTTTTTTAAATCCAACGTCAAATTATATACATATATTTTGCATGTCAATCAGAAAATCAACATTTTTACTGAAAAATACTTTGTAGTAATTTGTAGTTGACTAATCGAAGAGTATAAAATCAATATTTTACTGTTTGTATGACATTTCCAAGATTTTTTTAATTAATATATTTTTTCTGAATTTTTTTTTAAATCAACATTTTTCTATTTGTATGACATTTCCAAGATTTTTTTTATCAATAATTTATATATTGTTTTTTGTGTTAAAAAACATTAAAATCAATATTTTACTATGATGACATTTCCCCCAAAAAAATGATCAATTGATAATTTATATGTATATATTTATTTCTGTTAAAAACTATTTGTATGACATTTCTGAGTTTTTAAAATCAATTTATATATATTTTTTGTGTGTTAAAAATCATTCAAATCAATATTTTACTATTTGTATATTTCCAAGATTAAAAAAAAAATCAATCGATAATTTATATTATTTTTTGTTAAAAATCTTTACAATCAATATTTTACTATTTGTATGATATTTCCAAAAACATTTTTTTTAAATCAATTGATTTTTTTTCTGTTAAAATCAATATTTTTCTATTTGTATGACATTCCTGAATATTTTTTTTAATCAATTGATGACATATATTATTTCTGTGTTCTAATATCACTTTACACTCAAATTCTAAATAACAAAAGCATAAAGGAAGTGATGTCGTTTTGGAGGGAACTCAGCTACACGTCTGTGAGTGTTGTGATGCTCTCGTGTTTGTCCGCAGGTCTGACTCTCAGTGTGGATGTTAAAAACACTTCGGCTTCTCAGCAGCAGATCAGAAGCTTCGGAGAATTAAGCCTTAGGTTGAAACAGGAGAAGAATACGGCTGATCTGATCGAAACTGCCAGTAGTTTACAAATATTGAGACAAATTAGGTTTTCTAGTTTCGTACACATCTAAATAAATGATGAACAAGGAAACCACACACTTCTTTTGACTTAAGATGCATGATTTCGGTTTGATTGCGTCACACACGTCATCATTTTCTGTATTTATTGTTGGTATTTCTGTCAAATAAGCAGCACGTTTCATAACACGCCTCATGTGTTTCATTGCCGCCGCTCGAGAGCTGAAAACACAGAGCCGTGTTTCAGACAGACCGCAGCGATCAGAAGCACCATCCAGTTCAAGTGTCCTCGCCGCTGCCTCTGTTACCATGGAAACCAGCTTCAGCATCAGCATCAGCACCAACCGTCTGGAGCTTCATCACGGTCTGTCTGAGAGCAGCCGTAACGGTGAGTGTGAGTGTTTTTTATTGCTGTTTTCTTGAAATTCAGCATTGCATCACGTGCTCACCATTGGCGTGAATGGGTGCCGTCAGAATGAGAGTCCAAACAGCTGATAAAAACATCACAATAATCCACAAGTAATCCACAGCACTCCAGTCCATCAGTTAACATCTGGAGAAGACAAAAGCTGAAACTAATCCAGCATTATGTGGATTACTTGTGGATTATTGTGATGTTTTTATCAGCTGTTTGGACTCTCATTCTGACGGCACCCATTCACTGCAGAGGAAGTGATGTCTTGCCAAGTGGTTTTACGTGTACATCATCTTCATTACCTAATCATGATCATTTGATCCCCCAATAATTGACTCAGTAGACCTGAAATATGAAAATGTTCAGCATATGCAGCGTTTAATAGTTTGATACTCCGATACAACTGCTTAAGAGTCACAGCCGTGAGAAACACAGACGAATCTACATCATACCGTACCGTAATGAGAGACAACGTGATCCAAAGCAAAAGACACTTTTCATCTGAGATCTTCACTATTATGTGTTCACTATTATTACGTTTTCAATCATTCCTACAAGTCATGGGTAAAGCCGAAAAAGCTCCATATCGGTAAATATAATATAATACAATGTTTATATATATATATATATATATATATATATATAATAAAATGAAATATTTTAAATGGAAAGTCCAAAGATCTAATAAATAAATGTAATAAAAAATAAATAAGAGTAATTAAACAGCTGTAAATTCCCCTTTTTATTTCCTAGTTTTTGAAATGACTTTTTTTCTTTCTCAATCGTAACATAATTAAACGATGCTTTTAAATTCATTCATATTTTATTTTTATTTGATTTCACAATTGCAATATGTTTGCATTTATTGATTTAGCTGACGCTTTTATCCAAAGCGACTTATAAAAGAGGAACAAAGCAATTCATCATTTTAGATAGACTTTACTTTTATATATAATGTTTAAAAATGTAGTGTTAATGTAATGTTTTTTAATTACATATATTAAAATGTAATATTATATTTATATTTAAAAATGTAAATTTATATATATATATATATACATATATAT